GCGCGCCTGACGCCAACAGAGGCGCGCGAGCGCGGGCTGAGCGAGCGGGACCGCCTCGGCAACGCGGCGGCTGACGGCAGTGACGGCAACGCTGGCGCAGCCGCCGTGCAGCGGGCCCCACCCCAGGCCGCTGTGGCAGTGCGCCGCCGGGAGTTCGAGCAGCTGGAGGCCGCGCGACGCGTGCTCGCAGCCACCCAGCAGGCTGACCTGGCGGCGGCGCCGCCCGCTGCCCGCCGCCGGCCGCGCGACTGGCGCGGCGTGCGCCGCGCGGCCCAGGCTCCGCGCCGGCGGGCGCCGCCGCCCCTGCTGGGCGCGCGCCCTCGTTGTCGCCGCCGCCGCGGCGCTGCGTCGGAGACGAGCCCGTCCGCCCAGGCGCCATGCTCGCCGCCTTTTTCGCTGGGCGGTCGTGGTGGCCGCACGCCCGGCCCGGCCACGTCACCTGTCCCCAGTGCGGCGCCAGTGCTGTTACGCCGGCAGAGATGCTCGGGAGTGCATGCCCAGGATGGAGGGAGCGGCTGCCGGCACGGGGGCAGGCCCTGCTCCTGCTGCACGACATGCGCCGCGCCGGGGGCAGCGTGTCCGAATTCGCGGCGATGGCGGCGCGGCGTATAGCGCAGCTCCCCAAGGTGCTTGACTGACGGGTGCCTTCCCGGGCGCCCGCGGCTGCGCGGGGCGCCTGCTGTCCGCCCGTCAAAAAAGCGATTTCGCAATGCCCCGGGCATCACCGCCGTTATAATCACCGCGAATCGCCAGCATTCTTTCCATCATCAGCCAATCGGTGCCATCACCGACACATGGACATCAGCATCATCATCACCACCACCACCACCATCATCATCATCATCATCATCATCATCATCATCATCATCATCATCATCATCATCAAAGTCCACACCAGCATTTGCGCCGTCATTGGCGTTGCCACCGTCTCCGCCAGAATCGGCAACATTATCGCTACTACCATCAACGCTACCAGCCGTTGTCGCGCCCACCCGAGCCATCGACGCACACCGAAACGCCCGCGCGCCACCGCGGTTGCTGAAACGCGCTGTGAAGTTGCCTGCTGCAAGCGCCATCGCGGACGCATCAGTTGCGCCAAACCAGCTGGCCAGTCTGCCCGAGAGCTTGCCCGCGCCAGCGCGGCGGCAGAGATACGCCAGCCAGGGCCAAGCGATCACCGCAAGCACGGTCGCATGGGTTTTGTAAAAAAAGTTGCGGGTGGGAAGGTGGAGTGATTGCGCGAGCAATGGAGTTGAAAACTCACGAGCTGGCACCATAGTATCGCACGATAAATCAGAATGACGGGGCCGAACGGTCATTCATTGTCCCTGGGTGCGTGGCTGAAGTGAGAATCCGTGGTGAGGATTATGTTTGTTGCGTTGTTGTTGTTGTTGTTGTTATTGCTGCTGTTGTTGCTAATGTTGTTGTTTGTTGTTGTCGTCGTCCCCCCGGCGACCCACCCGCGACCCACCCCGCGACCCACCCCGCGACCCACCCCGCGACCCACCCCGCGACCCACCCCGCGACCCACCCGCGACCCACCCCGCGACCCACCCGCAACCCGACCCCGCGACCCACCCGCGACCCACCCCGCGACCCACCCGCGACCAACCCCGCGACCCACCCGCGAGCCACCCGCGACCCACCCGCGACCCACCCGCGACCCACCTGCGACCCATCCCGCGACCCACCCGCGACCCACCCGCGACTCACCCGCGACTGATCCACATTTGTTGGAAGAAAAAATCGGCACCTGCGGCGGGCTCGCTGTATAATTTGTGAAAATGTGGCGCTTGCGGCGGGCTTCTCCAGAGTCTCGCAAACTGCCGACGTCCCCACCGCCCCCTCACTATTATCCGCATATGCGGAGTGCTATGTATTAAGAGTGCACAACGTACCCTATACAACACATGTTGCAGTGCAGAGCTTGCACACTGTAGCCTACATCGCGCAGCTCCCACCTTCACAGTGCAACCACTTCCTGTTTGGGGTCCACGCTGGCTGCCGTATGTGTTCACACCGCTGAACTACATTCAATAAGAACTACAATTCTGATTCCTGCACGGGCACTCGGTGAAACAATCATAATGAACTGATGCGGGACACACGCGCGCATGCCAGACACGTTCAAACATCAACCGCGCACCTTCAACCCCTGTCAAATAATACAAGGCCCTGTGGGACGCGCGCGTCTCCGCACGCGCACGCGGACAGCCTTCCAAACCATTGGTTTCCACAGAATGTCAGAAGAAAGCAGGGACAACGGCAAAAAAATTGTATGGCTGCTCCGATAACGAAACAATTTCCTGCAAAGGCGGGCCGCACGCCATGTGAATGTGATACGGAACAGTCGCGATTAGACAAGCGAAGAAGGTAACTCACGGTCAACGAGCCCACCCATCTTAGACGCAACCTCCCGACATATCCTTTGGCACCATGCGTGAACCGCGGCATCAAATCCAGTAGCTATTCGTTCCGCCAGTTTTTCCTGATCCAAGCAGACGCGGGCAGCCATCACCGCTTTGCGAGTGCTTTGAATAGCCGCCCAAAGTTTGATGCAGGCCTTTCCTGCGCTATGACTCCAAATGTCACATCAAAAATGTGGTGCAATCTACCTGCGACTCTGTGGCAACATGGGCTGTCTGGAACATACTTCTGAACACCGTTGAGGCTGTCCATCGAGGAAACGCCCCAAACCATCATTCGCATCCAAACCGTCGTGCAGCTGGGCTTACATATCGATTCAACAGGCAATAGAGTGTTCGCAGTGGGTAAGACCAAAACCACACTACATTTCCTGATGCGCAACCAAGAGGTGGTACAACACATCTGCAATCCAAATGGCTCCCAAAACCAAAAATACGCCAGGTCTTTGGAGTTCTGTGCACACGTACTTCCCTTCATCGTCGTCTTCACCATTGATATCATCATCGCTGGCGTCGCCATTGTGTCACCACCTTTGCCCTCACCATCGACACAACGTTTGCGGGTAAGGTTGCCCACGACATGGTAAACTTGGCACTCGCGTCGAAAAGCCAGTTGATGTATACCATCAAGTTGCGGCTGCGTGGAAGGGGTGTTTGCTCGAGCATTGGGATTCACTACAAGCGTTGGGGTTCACGAGCTCGAGCCCCTCATAACTAAGTGCTGCCCCCTTCACAATGTTAGTCAGCGTGTACCCAAACCAATGAGATATAGCACACCCGAGGTGTAAGTTATGTGATGCAATCAACGCGGTGCAGACCATGATAAGTAAGCTATCTGGTGCAACCTCGACGGACCCCCGCAAGCGCGATGAACGTCAGCGAGGCGGCAACGAGGTGGCAACGGCGGCCGGCGACCCGGCGGCGACGCGGCGACGCCTCGACGGCCCCCCCCCCCCCAAGGGGGCGGCAACGAAGCAGTCACGAAGCGGCAATGAGAAAGCGACGCGGCCAAACCTCGACGGACCCCCTAAGCGGGCGACAACGACTGGGCGGCAGCGAGGCGGACTCTGGCGGGGACGTGGCGAAACCACCTCGAAGGACCCCCCCGCAATGGGCGGGCACGGGCGGCGACGCGGCGAAACCTCGGCGGCAATGGGCTGCGACGCGGCTGGGCTGCGACACGGCGAAATCTCGGTGGACCCCCACCACGTGGGCGGCAACGGCGCGGCAAAGAGGCGGCGACGCGGCGAGATCTCGACGGACCCCCCCCCCCCGAGCGAAGGCAGCGAGGCGGCCACGGGCTGCAAGGCGGCGAGGCCCCGAGGAGCCCCCACAAAGGGCGGCACCGGGGCGGCAGCCACGCGGCGAAGGGGCCGCGAGGCGGCGAAGTCTGGGCGGAAGTCCCCCCCGCGCGGGCGGCAGCGCAGCGGCAGCGAGGCCGACGCGGGCGGCGACGCGGCGGAGCCCCGAAGCCCGGCGGCGACGGGCGGCCACGCGGCGATCTCTCGGCGGACCTCCCCTCTCGGCGGGCGGCAGCGAGGCGGCCGTGGGCTGCGACGCGGCGCGAAGCCTCGACGCCCCCCCCCCCCCCCGAAGCGGGCGGCAGCGGCCCGGCGACGAGGCCCCGCAGCGGATCCTGCCGCGCGGCGAGGGGGCGGCGACGGGGCGGCGGCGCGGCGAAGCCACCGCGGGCCCCCGAAGCGGGTTGGCAGCGAGGCGGCCAACGAGGCGGCACTGGGCTGCCGCGCGGCGCAACCTCGAGTTTTTTTTCTTCTTCTTTTTTTTATATATATATATATATTTTATCATGCAATTCTACTTTATTTTGTATTGTTTTCATATATGTATCATCGGATCCAGCGCCCCATGTGGGCAGCCACGAGGCGGCAAGAGAGCGGCGGCGCGGCGAAGCCTCGACAGGCTCCCTCGAGCGAGCGGCACCGAGGCGGCACTGCGGGGCCACGCGGCGACACCTCGACGCACCCCCCCCCCCCCACTCACATGGGCGGCAACGAGGCGGCAGCGCGGCGGCCACGCGGCGAAACCTTGACGGACCTCCCAAAGCGGGCGGCAACGAGGCGTCACCGGGCGGTGACACGGCGGAATCTCGGCGAACACGTTCAAGCCCGTGGCAAGAGCAGCAAGAACGCAAGCGTGCAATCACGGATCGGGGGGGCGAGTGTGCCAACCCGTGTCGAGGGTGGGCTTATCGGGTCCCCTCTGCGCTGCTGCTTGCCACATGGATTACGCACGATCGCTCGTTCAACATCTCAAACAATGTAATATCGGTCTCGCTGGTATCGCCCCCCCTCCCCCGCATCCCTGCGAAGGATGCCAATGTTATCACGCCACGCATATCAGAGCGATCGCCTGGTTGAACAGTACAATCTTGATTGTGCCACCGCGGGGTCCCCATGGGGTGGATGGGTACCAGATGCGTGCAGGAACGAAAAGAGAGAGAGAGAGAGAGAGAGGCAACGAGAACAACAAAACATGGAGATGAAGAAGTCTCCAGGCGTTCTGGCAACTGTCCCGGTCGCCCCCCAATTCGCCCATTCGCCGACCCAGGCGCGCCAGAGAAGCCGTGGAGCAGCCGACGGGGCAGTCCAACGTCAGCGTTGTCGGGCTGGCCGCGCTGAGAGAGCCGCATGCTTTACACGCCAGCGTTCCTCGCAAAGGCCCCCCCGTCCCAAAGCACGGCCAGTGCCATCGACCAGGAGGAACTGAGGCTCAGAGCATTATAGATCAATCCCGTCGTCGTCGGTCGACGCTCGAAACTCAAGGGTCGCACCTCCTGGGCGTCTCTGGCCCGTTCTTGGTGCCCGGCTGGTGAAGTGGGAGGGTTTGTCCAGCAGAAGTCTCACCCGCGGCGCAGGCAGACGAGGGCCCCCCCCCGCAAAACGATCGCGCCCCACCAACCTGCGAATCTCGCACAGGTGGCCAGCAAGCCCGCCATATGTCGTTCTATGTTTCAAACAGATTCGCCTTCTTGTCCGGGGTCTGTCTCGCCGTAAACGAATGTAAATCCATACGATTGCGCCAAACACAGCAACTCATGGCTGGGCTGGCATGTAGGCGGCTCCCTGGCGTAGCTCTCTTTAGCCGAGGCATGATGTGCATCCTGTAGGGCATCCTGTGTATGCTGCGGGCACCCGGCACAGCTCAAGCGTACGCGCTCTCATGGACAATGGCCGCAAACACCAGCGCAACATACGAACACTGTAGTCTCCCCTAAACACCGACCCAGACAATCTCGGAATCGCGGTCGGACATATGGCATGATCCTCGTCGGGAAACATCGGGGCGAACGCGGTGATGCTCTTGAAAAGGGTGAACTCTTCCGAAAACGAACCAGCCCTAGTCGGATATGATGTTTTGAAGCTCGCTCAAACCTGAGAGGACTTACGCGTCGGATACCCGACACCATCGCTCTTATGCTATGCCACCGGCCCAACACAATCGAGGTTCGTACCTCTGCTCACTCTCGGAGATAGGAACCGACCGCAAAACAAATACAAGATGCGCCGGCCCGCATTCCGTGTATTGAGCACAAACGCTGTTGCCTCAAGAGTCGCAGCGACGTGCGGCCAAACGAACCGACGCCAAGCAGTTCGCCAACCTCCTAATCACACAGCTTCGCCCATTGTATTATCTCTATATATATATATAAATGTATCCATATATTTACATTCCTCTGTGTCCAGCGCGCTTGCGTCCTCCCCACATCCTCGTCCTCACGCCGCCTCAAGGACGGTGAAGATGTGCCAGTAATCCCGCTGACGTACACGCTCGCGGATGCGCCGAACGAGAACTGTGGCAGTCTGCCGTCGAGGTCGACACCTCATGGGGGGGGAGGACCACAGCCACAGAGCGCATAACGCCCTGGACGACTACACCAGCTGATCTCGACGGAGCAGATCAGGCGGGTCGCCCTCCCCCCTCGTCCTCTCCCCTGTGCTGCCTCTCCTCTCCCCAGCCGAGCAGCATAGTCGACGCACGCCGGGCAAGCAGAGGGCCCGAGCGGTGCACGAGCAGCCCTCTCGAGCGAATCGGCGCGGCGAGACGGCACGAGGCGACAGCTCTGTCCCTTCCCTGTTCCCCCAACTCCTCCCTCCCTTCCTGGTGCCCCCCCTCCTCCCCCCTCCCCCCCCTCCCCTCCTCCCTGCCACCCTCCTCCCCCCCTCCCCACTCCTCCCCACTCCTCTCCTCCCCCCTCCCTCCTCCTCCCTCCCCTCCACCTCCCTGCCCCTTCTATCGCCACGCCTCGTTGCCCTCCCGCCTTCCCGTCCTCCACCCTCGCCCCTCCCCCCCCCACACCGGCAGCAGTGCCGAGAGGGACAGGTCGGCCCTGCGCGCCCCACGCGCTGAGCTCCCCGCAGAGCTTGTAGTGGACGCCCGCGTCCAGCGAGGAGGCGTCGACGACCACCTGCCGGCCACTACTGCTGGCGGCACCCTCCGCCTGCACTCCCGTGGCTCCTCCTCCCTTCTCCTTCTCCGTCTCCTCTCCTCTCCTGCCCCCGTCTCCTCACCCTCTCCTCCTCCCCGCTCCTCCTCCGTCTCCTCCTCCCCATCTCCTCCTTCGTCCCCTCTGCTTCTCCTTTTTGTTTCTCCTCCTCCTCCTCGTGTTCCTCCCCTCCCACTGCTCTTCATCCCCTCTCCCCCTGAAACTCCTCCTCCCCCTCCCCCCCCTGTCCTCTCCCCCAGCTCATGCTGCTCCTCTTACCAAACTCCCTCCTCCCGAGTCGTCCCTTCATCCACATCCTTTACCCTCCTCCACCGTCCTCGCCTGTCGCTCGCCGCTCATCCTTCCTCCTCCCTCATCCTCATCATGACGATCTTTCTCGATCGTCTTCTCATTTTCCCTCTCAATCGCCCGGCGAGCAGGGAACCAGGCCCGGCTCTGGCTCACCTGCCAGTCTCACCAGAGCGAGGACGGCCACAACACGCCCATGCCAAAAATTGTGCTTCTCTCGCACCTACGGATGAGCCGTGGCAGTACTCAAAAAGCTAAGTAAGATTTTGGTGACAAAAGGTCCTTCTACAGAACGAGTATGCGCTTGCAGCGCGAGTCGGTTTTGGTGACCGACGAATGGTCCCCACCGCCGAGCAAACCGCCGACTGGATATCTCGACTTGCCCAAATTCTTGACGAACATATTCAGGTAGGGAATGCCTCCGCCAGTTCGGCCCCATACGGTCTTCAATTTAATGCCGTGGAAGCTCATCCAGCCCGTTCCCTTGCGGTGGGCCCGAGGCTGCTTGGAGGTGTAATGGAAGCCGCCCTCGCGCACGTCGTCCGCCCACTTGCCGGTCACATTAAGGGACACAAAATAAACGTCCGAGCAGGCGTCACCAAAACGCTGTGCCACGGCCGCGACGGCCAGGAGCGTCGCGCTCTTTTCTGCAGACTGTGGGACCTGGACCAGCAAGTGTCTGCCGACCTTGAAGAGATCAAAACGCTCCCCGTACATATTTGTCAGGTGGGGATCCCCGACTGCAGCAGCAATCGCTGCAGGCGTAGGGGCAGGCGTCGGCGCCGGGGTCGGTGCTGGCGTCGGCACTGAGGTCGGCGCGGGCGTAGGCAATGGTGTAGGAACTGTCGTCGGCGCAAGAGTCGGCATAATGAAGCTGCACGTATTGCCATTGAGGCACTGAGTCGAAGCATGGTTGGCTCCGTCGGCGTTTCCATCGATAACCATGGAGCGTGAATCTGTAGTAGTCCCCGAACAGTCTGCGCATGCAACAGCTACGTACGTGTTGCCACCATCTGTGGAATACAGCATACTGCCTATCCAGGCGTCCAATGTTGGACAGTGCATCTGCAGCGCCAGGATCGCGCTGGAAAAACACTTTGAGAGCACTGTTACACCTAGGACAAAGAATCCGGAGACCTCTTGCACAAATCCACTGCCCACATCCACGTTCACGTCCAGGTTGCCATCATTTAGGGACCCAGTGCCAGTGACAATCTGCAGACAATAAAGCGGCACAGTTGGGCTGGGCGTCAGGCTGGACCCTGGGCTCGGCATAGGACTGGGCGTCGGAATGGTTGTCGCGATCGTCGGCGGCATAATGAAGCTGCACGTATTTCCATTGAGGCACTGAGTCGAAGCCTGGCTTTCTCCGTCGGTGTCTCCATCGAAAACCATGGAGCGTGAATCTGTAGTAGTCCCCGAACAGTCTGCGCATGCAACAGCTACGTACGTGTTGCCACCATCTGTGGAATACAGCATACTGCCTGTCCATGCATTCCTTGTTGGATTGTGCATCTGCAGCGCCAGGACCGCGCTGGAAAAACACTTTGAGAGCACTGTTACACCTAGGACAAAGAATCCAGAGGCCTCTTGCACAAATCCACTGCCCACATCCACGTTCACGTCCACGCTGCCATCGTTGTGGGTCCCAGTGCCAGTGACAATCCGCAGACAATGAAGCGGCGCCTCCACGGAACTCACGCGGGCGAAGTCGAAGCTCGTGGCGTCCATGCCGAGCTGCACGAGCACGGTGTCCTCCTGAGGGTCGACCTCCACCGCTGCGGTCGTGCCGAAGACGCCGCGGGCGAGGAGAGGGATCAGCACGCACGCTCGGGCAGGCGCCTTCTGAGCCATCGTGGCGCGCACGTCACAAAAGCGAACTCGAGAAAAAGTTGGTGCGGTAAGGCGTGCACGTTGGCGATGTTCGTTTGAGCCAGATGGCTGCTGAACACGCCCATGCTCATAGTGGACGCCCCTGCGCATACACACGAGGAAGCACAACATATACGAAACTCGACTTCACGAAGTGCTTGCAAGCCTGGGCACCAAGCAGCGGCTTATACATAGCACTGCGGATGTGCAATACTCGCGGCGTAAATTAGTGCAGTGTAAACTATGTGGTGGAAGCCATGCGGAGATATCCATAAATGCATATATGAATACAGACACCTGTGTATAAATATATAGATATATGCGAGCCTACAAGTATGTATGCATGTGAATATGTATGCATGCAATCGAGTGTGTGTATAGATGTGCGTATGCATGTGATCTATATGTACATCTGTGCATATATATAGGTATGTACTTATGTATGGAGGTACGTACGTATGTATGTGTGCACGTAAGTGCGTATGGATACAGTTGTGTGTATAGTAGTAGATATACATACATATACGTATGTGTATGTATGTATGTATGTATGCATGCGTGCTTGTATGTATATGTCTGTATGTATGTATACATGCATGCATGAGTTCATGTTTGTATGCATGCATGCCTGTATCGATGAATGTTTGCATGGATGGAAGTGTGCATGCATGTATGTATATCTGTACTGTATGACGGGATGTGAGATGTGCACTAGGTCAAGCGAGCTGCGCGGTGTTGTGCAAACCGTGTGAAATAAGCTAATGTGTGTAAGCCATGTGGTGTACACTGAATGGAAATATTCCTTACACAGTGCTTGCACTCCATGAATTTGCGCGATCTTCTCTTCCTTCATCCGCCGACCCTTTCGGCGTGTGGGAGAGGCTGTTCCGTTTAAGGCGTCTTCGTCGACGTCGTCGTCGTCGCTCCTTCTCCTTCCCTGGGCCCGTCGCCGCCCTGCCCGTCGCCGCCCTGCCCTTTTCCTGGGCCCTTCTCCTTAAACGCGCCAACCAAAACAATATTGAACAACGTCGTAATTGAGTCGAAGGGAAGCCCCGTCCCTTTGATCCCTTCCCCGCCAGTGGGGGAGGGGTTCCTGGGGGGCCCCAGATCAGAATACATCCCCCCCCCCTGGGGGGGGCAAGGGCCCAAAAAAGTCCCAAGACGAGCCAAGAGTGCCCCAAGAGGCCTCCAAGACGGTCCAAGAGGAGCCCGAATCGCCAAACGATCGGTCCCAGACGTCTTTACAGCCTCCAGGCGGTCCAAGAGGGCTGGAAGACAACCCAAGAGGCCTTCACGAACACTCCCGAAAAAGCCCCAAGAGGCAAATTCATTGATTGACCTGAAGCTCTTCAAGGCTTTGGGCGTTCTCGCCTTTTCAGCTTCCCGACGATTCAAAACGGCCCAAGAGGCTCCAACGATCGCCCCAAGAGGCCTTCAAGAGGGTCCCGAAACGGGCCAAAGAGGGCCAAGACGCCTGCAAGACGGCCTAGGAGGCCCCCAAGAGGGTGCCCAGACAGGGGAACCAAACGGGCATTTCGAGCCCTCGGCTCCGAGAGGCTCCCAGGAGGCACCAAGAGTCCCCCAAGGATCTTCAGACCCACGGCGCAAAGCCGAGTCTAGCCTAGTCTAGTCCCCCTCTTCCTCCTCCTCCTCCACCTCCTCCTCCTCCTCTTCCTCCTTTTCCATATTTTCCTCCTTATCCTCCTCCTCCTCCTCCTCCTCCTCCTCCTCTTCTTCCTTTTCCTCCTCCGTTTGGAACGAATGCGCACGAAACCCGGCGCAGGCGCCTAATTTTTGGCTTGTTCAGTAAACGTAGTGTGGGTCGCAGGTGGGTCGCGGGCTCTCCACCTCCACATGGAAGGAATTCAAAAACTTCCCACCGCAAGCGCCGAACATTGTGATTTGCACACTGAACGCGGTTTGGGACGCAGGTTCTCCACCTGGAACGAATGCAAAGGAACCCTGCCGCAGGCGCCGAAATTTTTGGCTTGTTCAGAGAACGTAGTTTGGGTCGCAGGTGGGTCGCGGGGTCTCCACCGTCACCTGGGAGGAATTCAAAAACAGCCCGCCGCAGGCGGCGAAAATTTTGATTTGTACACTGAACGCGGTTTCGGTCGCGGGTGGGTCGCAGGTTCTCCACCTGGAACGAATGCACAAGAAGCGCGCCTCAGGCGCCGAATGTTTTGGATGGGTCGCGGGGTGGGTCGCGGGCGGGTCGCGGTGGGTCGCGGGTGGGTCGGGGTGGGTCGCGGGTGGTTCGTTGGCGCGGTTTGGGTCGCGGGTGGGTCGCAGGTTCTCCACCTGGAACGAATGCAAAAGAAACCCGCCGCGGGCGCCGAAAATTTTGGGCGTGTCGCGGGTGGGTCGCGGGTGGGTCGCGGGTGGGTCGCGGTGGGTCGCGAGGGGGTCGCGGGGGCGTCGCGGGTGGGTCGCGGGGTGGGTTGCGGGTGGGTCGCGGGTGGGTCGCCGGTGGGTCGCGGGTGGGTCGCCGGGGGGGTCTCGGGGTGGGTCGCGGGGTGGGTCGCGGGTGGGTCGCGGGTGGGTCGCGGGTGGGTCGCGGGGTGGGTCGCGGGTGGGTCGCGAGTTTGGTCGCGGGTGGGTCGCGGGTGGGTCGCGGGGTGGGTCGCAGGTGGGTCGCGGGGCGGGTCGCGGGTGGGACGGCGACAACAACAAACAACAAACAACAATAACCACAACACAAATTTGTTCAAGAGTGTTCGCTCTTACCAGTTCGCGTGTCATTCAATATGCAGATCTCAAACCCTTGATACCTGCCCTCTTCGTCTTCGATCGTACACCTTTTGGGGGTATATTCATTCCCTGTCACGCGTGCTTGGTGAAGCCCTTGAAAACGAAGGTGGCAGATAACGGGGGAGAATGAGGACGAAGGGATCGGAGGAAGGGGGGGGAGGGGTAAGAAGCAGGGAGGACGAAGATTTGCGCTGTGAGTGGCGATTCAACTTGCGCCATGGCTTGCGCCAGCCACTCCAACACAGGTTAACAAGAAATTTCGCCATGGGTCGCGCCGTAAACAGCGCCACGTACCACCCCCTTGAAAGAACATATCGTTGATACCCCCACGGGGGGACGTACAGCTGCGAACAGGTGTCAGAAACAAATATCGTGGAACCCTGAATGAAAAAACAAGGATGTTGGGAAAGTGGGGCGGGAGGATCGTGAGAACTGCATCCGTGTCGAGAGGGTCGCGGGAATGTGGAGTGGAATGGGATGGAGTGGACAAGAGTAGGGTCTCAAGAGGAGGAGCGGCAAGGAGTGGAGAAGAGGAACCGGGAGGAGTGCGGAGGAGCGGGGTGCGCACGGAGGAATCTGGAGGAGGGACTGGGAATCATTTGGGAGAAATGCGTGATGCGAGCGGGAAAGGGTGGAGATTGTTGGGATGGGATGGGGTGGCCTGGGGATGAGTGGGCGGAATGCGAAGAACTGAGGAATGGCACAATGGAGTACGAACGGAATGAAAACGAAGATGAAGGGAAAGAGTACAGAAGTAAAAAAGTATCAGGCGGGAGCCGTTGTTGGCGCGGGCCACGACGGGCGCGAACGAGCGGGGGCCCCGAAAGGGCATGCGTATAAGGAGGCCGAAGAGGGCAGCGACGGAGCCGGTGAGGGCAGAAAGTGGGCCACGAATGGCAGCGAGGGGGCCACGAATGGCGAGAGCGGGGCCACGAAGGGCATGCATATGGGGCCAGAGAGGGCGACAGCGGGGCCACTGAGCGCAGAAAGTGGGCCACGAATGGCAGCGAGGGGGCCACGAATGGCGACAGCGGGGCGACGAAACGCATGCGTATGGGACCACGAAGGGCGCGAGCGAGCGGGGGCCACGAAGGGCATATAATCCGGGGCCACAAAGGGCAGCGACGGGGCCGCTAAGGGCAGAAACGGGGCCACGAACGGCAGAGAGGGGGCCACGAAGGGCGACAACAGGACTACGAAGGGCATGCGCGAACGAGCGGGGGCCACGAAGGGCATTCGTCGAGGCCAGAAAGGGCGACAGCGGGGCCACTGAGCGCAGAAAGTGGGCCGCGAATGGCAGCGAGGGGGCCACGAATGGCGACAGCGGGGCGACGAAACGCATGCGTATGGGACCACGAAGGGCATGCATATGGGGGCACGACGGGCGCGAACGAGCGGGGCCACGAAGGGCATTCGTATATGGGGCCAGAAAGGGCGACAGCGTGACCACTAAGCGCAGAAAGTGGGCCACGAAGGGCAGCGAGAGGGCCACGAAGGGCGACAGCGGGGCTACGAAGGGCATGCGAGGGGGCCACGACGGTCGACTGCGAGCGGGGGCCACGAAGGGCATATAATGCGGGGCCACAGTGGGCAGCCACGGGGCCACTGAGGGCAGCAACGGGGCCACGAAGGGCAGCGAGCGAAGGCGACCGCGGAACCACCACGCGCAGCAAGGGGCATCGAAGGCGGGGGAAGGGCAGCGAGCGGCGAGTGCAGTCCCTAACGGGCTGGTTGGGCGGGCAGGCCCAGACGGGCGGGTCGACCGGGCGGGTCGTTGAAACGTAAATTCTGCTTGAACCGCCAGGCAATATGTAGCGGGAGCGCGATTCCTGAGTGCCGAGGAGCGGCATCTGAATAAGTTGTGAGGAAGTGCCAGGCGGGAGCCGCGATCCGGTGGTAAGTTGCGAAGAAGTCCCAAGCGAGAGCGGGATTCTTCAATAACTTGCAAGGAAGTAACTAATTAGCGGGAGCCGCGATCGCGTGGTAATTTGTAAGGAAGTCCCGAGCCAGAACGCGATTGTTTAATACATTTTGAGGACGTATCAGGCGGGAACCGCTGTTGTTGTAAACCGGGGGCCAACGACACAGTTTGACCTTCAAGAATTTCTTTGATAAAAAACAGGGTGCGAGCCCGGGGAGGGCACTTCAATCGAAAAAACAAATGTGCACCAGACGGGGGGGATCAACAATAATTCGTATTCAGATATGAGGTTTCAAGAACACGAATCCGCATCGCGGAATACCACTTCAGCCACGCACCCAGGGACACTGAATGACCGTTCGGTTCAGCCCCCTCATTTTGATACACATATATATACATACATACATACATATATATATATATATAGATGCCCGTGCCGAGGGTTCTTCCAGA